CAAAAAAGGCTGTTCCTCTTTGGGGCGTGGCTTGGTGTCAGAACGAGGCTGAGGTCACTTTGGGGGCGTGGCTTGGTGTCAGAACGAGGCTGTGCCTTTTGGGGGCGTGGTTTAATGTCAGAACGAGGCTGGGGTGTTTGTTGGGGAGTGGCTCGGCGTCAGAACGAGGCTGTGCCGGTTTGGGGGCGTGGCTTGGTATCAGAACGAGGCTGGGGCCCGTTTGGAGGCGTGGCTTGGTGTCAGAACGAGGCTGTGCCATTTTGGGGGCGTGGCTTGGTGTCAGAACGAGGCTGGGGTCCGTTTGGGGGCGTGGCTTTGTGTCAGAACGAGGCTGGGGTCCGTTTGGGGGCGTGGCTTGGTGTCAGAACGAGGCTGGGGTCCGTTTGGGGGCGTGGCTTGGTGTCAGAACGAGGCTGGGGTCTGTTTGAGGGCGTGGCTTGGTGTCAGAACGAGGCTGGGCGGGGCCTAAATGGGCGTGGTTTGTGTTTGGGCGTGGCCTGAGCCGTTCCTCTTCCGGGTTCTATTCCCAGTTGGATACTGGGATGGACTGGTGCCAGTTCCAGTCCGAAACTGGGCCAGACTGGTCCCAAAACGCGGTCAGATTCGGGTCCCAGATTCCGGTGCCACTCGCAGTTGGATAATGGGACAGACTGGTCCCAGTCCCAGTTGGATACAGGGAGAGAATGGTCCCAGTCCCTCCCAATTCCCTCCCAGTTCCTTCCCGTTTCCTCCCAGTTCCCTCCCAGTCCCCAAAAACAACTCCTGGGTGTCCATCCACGGCTTTATTCCGCCCAAAATCTCGAAATTTCCCCCCCAAAATCCCAAGAATTCCACCAAAAAAAATCTGGAATTCCGCTCAAAATCCCAGAATTCCACCCAAAATCCCGGAACTCTGCCCAAAATCTCAGGAATTTTCCCCAAAATGCTGGAATTCTGCTCAGAAATCCTGAGAATTCCACCCGAAATCCCAGGAATTCTGGGCGAAACCCTGGGAATTCCACGCAAAATCCTGGGAATTCCCCAAAAATCCCAGGATGGGGGATCCCCCCCTATAAATATAGTGCAAAAAAAAAAAAAAAAAAAATTCCCAAAAAAACGAGAGGGGGAGAAAAAAATTTTGGGAATTTCCCCAAATACCCGGGAGGGTCCAGCCAGCCCAGAATTTTTGGGATGGGGAAGGGGGGAAAAAAAAAAAAAAAAATCCTGAAATCCTCCTGTGGAATTTTTGGGAATTTTGGGATTTTTTTGAGGGATTTTTGGGGGNGCCACTGCAGGCTCACATGTTGACGGGGCTCTCGGCTGCCAAGGCCACGGCAGAATCCAGGTGAACTTTGCAGGCCCGGCCGTGCACCTGCAGGAACTGGGCCGGGTCCTTTTTCTGAGGGAAAAAAAAAAAAAAAGAGAAAATTCCAGGAGTTAGGAATGAGGGAGGAAAGGTGGGAATGATCCCAGCAAGGGTGGGGATGAGGGGGAGAATTCCTGGGAAAAGCTGGGATTTGGGAAGGGAGGGGAGGTGGGAAAGGAGGGGTTGGAATGGAAGGAAAAGGGGAGTTTGGGGTAGAAGTGCAAGGAAAAATGGGAATTTCGGGCTCCAGACTGGGACAGGAGACCCCAAACTGGGACAGGGACATCCCAAACTGGGACAGGGACACCCCAGACTGGGACAGGGACACCCCAAACTGGGACAGGGACACCCCAAACTGGGACAGGGAGACCCCAAACTGGGACAGGGACACCCCAGACTGGGACAGGAGCCCCTAAAATGGGACAAGGACACCGCAAACTGGGACAGGGACACCCCAGACTGGGACAGGGACACCCCAAACTGGGTCAGGGACACCCCAAACTGGGTCAGGGACATCCCACACTGGGACAGGGACACCCCAGACTGGGACAGGGACACCCCAGACTGGGACAGGAGCCCCCAAACTGGGACAGAGAGCCCCTAAAATGGGACAGGGACACCCCAAACTGGGAAAGCAGCCCTGAAACTGGGATAAAAAGCCCCCAAACTGGGACAGGGACATCCGAAACTGGGAAAGGAGCCCCTAAAATGGGACAGGGACACCCCAAACTGGGACAGGGACATCCCAAACTGGGACAGGGACATCCCAAACTGGGAAAGGAGCCCCCAAACTGGGACAGGGACATCCCAAACTGGGACAGGGACATCCCAAACTGGGAAAGGAGCCCCCAAACTGGGAAAGGAGCCCCCAAACTGGGACAGGAACACCCGACACTGGGACAGGAGAACCCAAACTGGGACAGGAACATCCCAAACTGGGAAAGGAGCCCCCAAACTGGAACAGGGACACTCCAAACTGGGACAGGGACATCCCAAACTGGGAAAGGAGCCCCCAAACTGGGACAGGGAGCCTCCAAACTGGGACAGGGAGCCCCCAAACTGGTTCCAAACCGGATCAGGATTGCTTCTGGGTCCCCCCAAACTGGTTCCAAATTGGTCCAGGTCCCTCCAAACAGGTTCCAGCCCAGTTCCAGCCTGGTTCCAGCCCAGTTTCCCGAGCCCACTCACGATTTTCTCGTAGTACTCGCGGCGGCGCTCGGCGCGTTTCTTGTAATCCACCATCATCCCCCGCAGCTTCCGCTCGTGCTTGCGCGCCTCGTGCCACATCCTGGAACCTTCCAGAAGGGCCTGCGACCTTCCAGGGGGGCCACCAGGCTTCCCAGGGCCTGCAAAGTTCCACGGGGATCAGACACTTCCCCAGGGGCTGGAAACTTCCAGAGGGATCTGACACTTCCCCAGGGCTGGAAACTTCCAGAAGGGCCTGGAAACTTCCAGAGGGCAGCAAACTTCCCAGGGCCTGGAAAGTTCCCAAGGATCAGAAACTTTTTCAGGGGCTGGAAATTTCCTTGGAAAGTTCCACAGGGATCAGAAACTTCCACAGGGGCTGGAAATTTCCTTAGAAAGTTCCACAGGGGCTGGAAATTTCCTCATGGCTCGAAATTTCCCTGGGGCCTGGAAACTTCCCAGGGATCAGAAACTTCCTCAGGACTAGAAATTTCCAGAGGGGCCTGGAAAGTTCCAGAGGACCATAAACTTCCAAGGGCCTGGAAAGTTCCACAGGGATCAGAAACTTCCACAGGGATCAGAAACTTCCCAGGGACTGGAAAGTTCCCTGGGGCCTGGAAAATTCCCAGGGATCAGAAACTTCCTCAAGGGCTGGAAACCAGGGAAATTG